AAGGAAAAGTCCTCTTCCGGCTCTAGCCTCATCCTCGGAACAAAATGTCCTTTTACTTTTCTAGTTTTAAAATTCCCTAAAGTCACACATCCTGCATATGCAGGTAAATGTGACAGTTAATTACAGTCCTAAGTATATTCCACAAACCACTGAAAGAAAGCTAAAACCAAAACTGTCAGTCTAATGGTTTTAGTCTAATGAAATATTTAGTGGAAACATTAAAAGTTATCAGACAGGAAAACTGATCACATGCTACCACTCAGGAAAACAATCCACCCATAATACTGGACATAATTTCATATTGTAAACACTGGTAAGAACACATAAAATTTAAAAGCAATTATTTCATTGTGGTTTACTCAATAAATTAAACTGTACCTGGGGAGTCATTCAGGCTGAAGGCAATTCGTACTGGCTTATCAGCAGGTACCCTGGCGGTGGTGATCATGTGGGCACTTGAGTCAATGCTTTTACTTGTTTGTTCCAGCTGCAATAATACAAACAATATATTTATTACAGAGCATGTGACACCATTCAACAAATGAGTTTTAATGCTTCTCATGCATTCACATGAGAAGCATTCTTATTCTAGCTAAGCAACGTTTAGAATCAAAGTCAAGGGTGCGCCATTTCACTTTTCCATTTAAAAAGGATTTAAGTGAAATTCAGTGCAGAGACTGCCTTTCTTTTGCTATTTACAGATTAGAAAGAATGATGGCAAAGGAAGCTTCCCCTCTCCTCACCTGCTTGCTCCCCGCCATTGCCCCTTCAGCAAGCCTTGACTCGTGGCAATGCTGCCGGGTTCTGAAGGTGAAGAAGGAAGAAGGGGTGGGGAGTTGAGAGTAACATGACCCCAAGCCTCCCGTGTGATTGGAAACGTGCACACCACTCCACATGGTGTCAATGAGGAGGCACCCATCCTCCTACCTTCCACCCATACTCCCCCAGTCAAACTGTGCCTGATAGTCACACATTTAATGGTCAGAAAGTTACTGGGTCTCCAAACCTTGGTGGTGATTCTTCAGTGGAACTCTGAGCAGGTGTAGGGATCTGTCTGCATGGGTTTGACTCCCGGATCAGGACCTTATTCAGTCCTCGGTCTTTCTTCTGAGACCACCAATTCCAAAAAGTGGTTTTACTGAGATGAAACCCTGTCCATTAAGAAAACTGCTAGTTCATTTCAAGCAGGGCACTAAACAAGTGTTGAGCAACAAAAGAATTAGCTACTACTGATCTGTAATGGTATAATTAAATCATCTCTGAACAGTCAAAACTTGTACTCAGAGCTCTACTATGTATATTAAACTTTTTGAACGAACGGTTTTGTTTAAACTCTATTAAACAGCTGAACGCAAACTTAATCTCCTTGTATATCTAACACAAAGCTGCTAAAATTCACAGATATTAATCTTCTGATTAGCTCATGTGTGGAGAACGTAAAGTCAGTGGGACTTCATTCACGCAAAAGATCTGCCCATAAAGAAATTATTTTAGGACTGAAGACTATGCTATCCAGAGTGCATTGTATCCGTACCAACTATGTGTACCATTACAAGAGTAGCTTTTACATTACCATAAAAACTCCTCCGTCAATTAGAAACCAAATTCTTCAGGAAAATACAATGAATTTACTAAAAGTTGTACCACATGTCAGTAGACAACACAGCATTTGGCTAGCGTCTAAAAGCCAGCTTCCCAAGCCTATAGTCTTGCAGTTTTTCAGTAAAGTAGCTATTATATTGCATGGAAATCCCAACAACTCATTCTAATTTACACTTAATTATTTGGCAGTCTCAGAAAGTCAATAGAACAGAACAATATTTCAGGATTATAATCTTCCTCGGTGATGTACAAGTGAATGAAACACCTCCCTGGCATCACTGCCTTGCTATCAGTGGAAGAGTATCAAATTTGCATTTGGCCCATTAAGTTCAGCATTTCTTTTTTATTTGCTTTGTCTGTCTTAATATTTAGCTAGCAGAGTCATGCGGTTACTCTGTAGCAATGCTACACAAGAAATTGTTATTTGAAGTGCATAATCTTTTCTTAAAATAACAACAAATAATCTAAAATCATTACTTTGAATAAATCTTATTTGGAGCTGAGAGTGTCTCTTTCTACTAATACATGAAAGATATCAGGGATTGTTCTTTATTCCCTATGATTAATAATCGAGACACACAAAAACTGAAGTGATATCTATTGGGAAGAGACAAAGAAAAGTCTACTCAGCTGCCACAGTGTGTGTTTTTGGACTCAGGAAAGGATCCTTGGAGTCAACTGAAATACTCTATTTTGAAGTGCATTGCATCAGACTAAATAACTTCTACCTTCTGAGTATTATTGATCTCTTTCCCCCCCCCAGATCCTCACTCTATAAGAAACATACATGACACCTCATTGTTTTTAAAAAACAAAACTACTAATCCAAAATTCTTTATCATATTTCCCTTCCATACCTTCCAGTACAAGGCAAAGAAAAAAAAAAAAGAGATTTTAAGTGATAAGCACATCCTTGAATCAAGACTGTTCATCATTCTGTGTTGGTGGCACACATTCCCCTGACATCTGCTTACTTTCTCAAGTGGTCATCCACATCCACATAAGAGCATACTTAACATTTTGTATCATAGCCTAAGTAACTAAAATGATGCATTGTGCTAGAGGTTTTAAAGTTGCCATAACAATATTGCTAGAAGTAAATCTGTTGTCTTATCCCAGCCACATACTCTGTGGTCTGTGATGTCTTTAAATTATCTCTTCTAACCACCTACTATGTGAGGGCAAAAATCAATACCCCTTCAATAAGCAATGGTGAATGCTATTGTAACACGAAAGAGAGTTTTCATTTTATTCCCATCCACAAAAAGAAATCTCATCTTTGCACACAGCAATTACCCTGCTACCTATTTTTTTTTATATTGTATTTATCCCTTCACTCCTTTTCTAGCAGAATCCTCAGGCTCTTCACCACAAAAAGCAACAGAGAGGGATGGGAGCAGCCTGTGTGCAAACAAGGTGATACAGGAAACATGCAGACCGACTGCCCCCAATTCCCCACCTGCTTTCTCCATGCATGAAGAACAGTATCTCTGTAGACAGAGATGAGGGTGAGTGGGCAACCTGGAATTTAATGCGATTTAATGAGCAGCTCTCTTCTTCGCAGCAATTGCCTACAGAACTGGCTGCTGTTTCTCCATAAAAAAATCTGCAGCAGAACTCAGATTAAGTGCCGTTACAGCTCTATCAATTTAGTTCAGTTTTCACACCTGTTGCCTTACCTCACTTAGCGGAGTGTCTGCACTTGTATAATCCAGGGCCAGCCACTGTCTTGGCTTGTCGTTGCCTTTATGGAGTAAAGCTTCAATAAAAGAAAAGGCTGCACCTGCTGCATAGCAACAAACTGACAAGGTCTGAGAAGCTGAGACAGCTGTCAGGGCAACATGCTGCTACCTGCACTTCCCATAGGCTTTGCTGTCCCAAAAGATCACCCTTTTCCGCTTTTCTCCACAATTCCGCTTTTCCTTCCTCTCCTTGCCAGTGACGAGGGATTATGATGCTGTCACGCTTCAGGGAGGAAAAAATCCTTCTGTCACAGGCATTATTAAGCAGCAAACTGTGGCGAGCCCAAGATTTTTAATTCATTAGTCCTGGCAAACCTAAAATACAAACAGACTTGCTTCATAGGACAGGAATGTTTTCAGCATGACCCAATCAGTGTCTGTGTCTATTCCAGCAAACTGGCAAAGATAGCATGACTCCAGTCAGCAAAAATGTCTGCAGCTCCAATCAGCTTGGGCTGACACTGCCAACTTGGACTGGCTACAGGCGAACTATCAAATGATAGCAGCGACTATCAAAGCTAACAACAAGGGATGGGCTCGGCGTGGTAGGCTGAGTTCATGTTGGCTTTGCTCAAGTCGGGCTCGTCTCATAGCAGACGACACAGCCCCGCACTTCTGAGGAGGCAACGGGCGAATTTCAGAATGCGTATGCTGTGAAAGCAGATGTATTTATAGATGAGCTGGCGATGGCGCTGATAGCTGGAGCTGACTAAATCAGAGATTTGCCTGAACTCTGAGGGTTTCCTCGTGCAATTTCGGACAGCTTTGTGTCAGTTTTGAAACCACAGGCGAGCAATTAATAGATAAAACTTGAAGTATCACAGGAGAGATTCATTTCTTCAGCTTAAACTTTTGTTTTCTGTAGCTGTGTCACGCACATGCACTGCCTACATGACTTCTTTGATTGACTGCTGTCACAGTCATTAGAACAAAGGGAGAAAAATGGAGAACAATTACGGAATGATTATACAGAATATCTTTGTATCTATTGTTCTGTGCTTGAAAAGGGGGTTCTCTTTTTATATTTCAAAATGTATTTTGAAGGTATATTTTATATTTTTAAATTCCAAACGGAAAAGGTTTATCTAACCCAGCTTTCCTGCATAGGCACATCCCTAGATTCTCTTGGCTCAGCTGACATACAGAGATGTTGCAGGACGAGTAGAGATTTGAAGGTCTGAAGTTAAATTTTCATCCTTCTTCACCCTCTCACCTTCTGGCCCTAGCCCAGGATTGACCTAATCAGTGCAAATCTCAGGAAGCCGGCAGTTGCCCTTGTGGCCTCAAAAGACCTTTTTCATACTTTTAAATGACTAAACTGCAACGATATTCTACCCACACTGCCTTTCCCCCAGCAATGACCCAGGAGGGTATCAGACAGCTACACCATTAGTTAGGTATCTGGTGAGGCTGCCTTTTTAACTGCAGTGAGATTTCAGAGCAGACTATGGGCTCTGGCCCAAAGAGTTAGTGAAAAGCAGGATTGTGCCTCTGACTATGCTGACCATTTCCTCTTCTCTTGATGTCTTTCTGAAAAGGTTGAGGGTTCCTCCCTTTATGTCTCCTTTGGAAGGGGAGGGAGAGACATTTGACTCTGATCACAACCACTATTGCAGATAACATTCTACAGGTCAGCAGTTGATATCGTTCTCCAGCTCCAGGTATAATTACTGTGAAAGTATTTGTTTGAAGATACAGAAAATCCTGGCTCCAGTGAAATCACTAAAAATATTCTGCTTCAGCTTCCATGGAGACAGGGTTTCCCCAAAATTGTAAGATCCTCTTCTGCTTCATACGGACAGATGGTATTTAGATGGTATGAGTGCCTTTATTACATGCCATTACAGTAAAGCCTAAAAAAGCCTCTCTATGTAAAGTCTTAAGACATGGAAAATCTTCAATAGCCATGACAGCAAGGGTCTTGGGCAGAAATGATGGCTGAATAGCCCAGGGGTGGTTTTCCCAGATGGCTCCACATTTCCCAGACACTCCACATTTCCAGACTGACGCTTTAGTTGTACTCAGTTTAAATAGTATGTGCGTTCACAAATTGAGTTCATAATCATTTTACCATAGAATCATAGAATGGTTAGAGTTGGAAGGGACCTTAAAGATCATCTAGTTCCAACCCCCCTGACATGGGCAGGGACACCTTCCACTAGATGATCTTACTGAAAGCCTCATCCAGCCTGGCCTTGAACACCTCCAGGGATGGGGCATCCACAGCTTCTCTGGACAACCTGTTCCAGTGTCTCACCACCCTTACAGTAAAGAATTTCTTCCTAATGTCTAATCAAATCTACCCTCTTTCAGTTTAAAACCATTACCCCTCGTCCTATAGCTATACTCCCTGATAAACAGTCCCTCCCCATCTTTCCTGTAGGCCCTCTTTATGTACTGGAAGGTGGCAATAAGGTCTCCCTGGAGCCTTCTCTTCTCCAGGCTGAAAAACCCCATCTCTCTCAGCCTGTCTTCAGAGGCATTCCAGCCCTCTGATCGTCTTCGTGGCCCTCCTCTGTACTCCCTCCAACAGCTCCATGTCCTTCTTATGTTGGGGACTCCAGAGCTGGATGCAGTACGCCAGGTGGGGTCTCACAAGAGTGGAGTAGAGGGGCAGAATCACCTCCCTCGACCTGCTGGCCGTGCTTCTTTTGATGCAGCCCAGAATATGGTTGGCCTTCTGGGCTGTCAGCACACATTGCTGGCTCACGTTGAGCTTCTCATCTACCAAGACTCCCAAGTCCTTCTACTCAGCGCTGCTCTCAACCCGTTCTCCGTCCAGACTGTACTTGTGCTTGGGGTTGCCCCAACATGCAGGACCTTGCACTTGGCCTTGTTGAACTTCACGAGGTTCACACGTGCCCAATTCTCAAGCCTGTCCAGGTCCCTCTGGATGGCATCCCTTCCTTCCAATGTGTCAACCACTCCACACAGCTTGGTGTCATCAGCAAACTTGCTGAGGGTGTACTTAGTCTAAACATCCATGTCACCAACAAAGATGTTAAATGGTACCGGTCTCAGTACTGACCCCTGAGGAACGCCGCTTGTCACTGGTGCCCACTTGGACATCAAGCCATTGACCGCAACTCTTTGAGTGCAGCCATCCAGCCAATTCCTTATCCACCAAGTAGTCCATCCATCAAATCCATGCCTCTCCAATTTAGAGACAAGCATGTCATGCAGGACTTGCAAAAGTCCAGGTAGATGATGTCAGTTGATCTTCCCTTATCCACCAATGCTGTAACCCCAGTGTAGAAGGCCACCAAATTTTTCAGGCACGATTTGCCCTTAATGAAGTCATGTTGGCTGTCACCAATCACCTCTTTATTTTCCATGTGCCTTAGTAGAGTTTCCAGGAGGATCTGGCTCCATGATCTTGCTGGGCATGGAGGTGAGACTGACAGGCCTGTAGTTCCTCAGGTCTTTCTTTTTTCCCTTTTTAAAAATGGGGGTTATGTTTCCCTTTTTCCAGTCAGTGGGAATTTCACTGGACTGCTACAACTTCTCAAATATGATGGATAGGAGCTTGGAAACTTCATCTGCCGGTTCTCTCAGTACCCGCAGGTGAATCTCATCAGGTCCCATGGACTTGTCTACCTTCAGGTTCCTCAGATGGTCTTGAACGTTGTCTTCTCCTACATTGGGCAGTTCCTCATTCTCCCAGTCCCTGCCTTTGCCTCCTGCAACTCTGGCGGTGTGGCTAGAGCCCTTGCTGGTGAAGACCAAGGCAAAATGTTATGCTTTGTATCTATTGTATACATTTTTTTAAAATGTCAGTCTTTCTAGTTAAATCTGTGTTATTATACACACTTTAATAAAGAACGTAGCATCACCTGTACTTCACTTAATACGCTTCTAAGGGATGTGCTGCTCCTGAAAGCTATGAATCATGTGCTAAGATACCAAAACTGCACAAACCAAAAGGCCCCTGATTTGCATTTAAATATCAGTTCCATGCTTTACAGAATGATTAGTCACCTGTAACTACTACTTCATGGAAGGTAGTCTATTTTTTAAATGTGAGAATATTGTAGCATTCTGCATACAGAATAATAAATTTGAAGCATCAGGATGAATGACTTGACTGTAACCATTTTATCATCTATTTATTATTGGGGCTATGGTGCTAAATCCCTCAACAATATGGATTTAAACAGCACATTTTAAAAGGTTCTCTAAATTACTTTATAACAATAAACTAGGGAAAATGTCAATTTTAAACAACTGGGAAATTGAAGTCCAGGGTGCTTTACTTCCATCACTTGCTCTAATTAGTAGTCAAAGGCATTGTAAATTTTGGGTAGAGATAGATCCCACTTCTCTTACTCACTAAGTAGGTGACTAAAATCTGCACAGCTAAGAAAATTACTCTCTTATTTATTGCAACACAAAACAATACGTCTTTATAACAGGCTGCACATACATCTTACAGTCATCTCTCTGAAAATTACAGAATGCTGATAACTCCAGGTTTTTTGTGCAGGACCACAGCCCACCCTGTTTCCTTTCCAGCATACTCTTAGTCATCAGATGCCTGGTGTCCAAGTAATATTCTTTCACTCCTGCACCACATTATGAAACTGGTGACATGCTAGAAGAGAATATAATGTTTTATTAATCAAAAACACCTTAAAGAAAAACTCTAAATTAGGAACACTGGGACTTACTGATATTCAGTAGTAGAAATATGCAAATTTGTAACAATTTTTAGGATGAAGTATCAGTTATGCTACAGATGTAAAAAAAGCCAATATCTGCTATCTAATAAAACACCTGTTGCCTTCCCCTTTTTAGCTGTGCTACTTTCAATTCATCTCAGTTTCCTAGTATAAGTAGTATTTTAGTAGCATATGACCTCATTCATGCTAAAATGGTGTTTCACAGATTGCCAGTCACTATTTAAAATACACTTTAAATATTCTAGCATATGGAAGATATTCCAAGAAGAAATTTAAAAAAAAATGCTTTGCCTAGAACTGCACACAGAGCGAAATATTCATCTTATAGTTTCCCCTGAGTTCAAACAGAATCCCATTTTTGACAATTTCCAATTAACTTATTTCTGCAGCAAAATTTGTTTAAAATCCCACTGTGGGAGGGATTTGGTACTCCTTACTGACATCAGGGCTGAGAAGGGTGAAGCTGCTCCATGCTATGGAGAATTGATTTTGAAAGCATAAACATTGGTGAGTCATGTTCTTTAACTCCACATCAGCTGTAGAATTTCCAATACCACTTGGATTCTAATTGAATAAGTGCCCTCACACCAGCCACAAAAACAGAATTTCTTTGTTGACCTGATCTCT